GGGGAATTCTGGGAGTTGAAGTCCGCATGTCTTAAAGTGGCTGAGGTTGAGCAACTCTGATGTAGACTCACAAACTAAGTAGTAGGATGCAAAAGGAAAAAGGGATGTGGAGGGGAGAGGGAAGCAAATTCCGGAATTGAAGTCGCATAGTATCACCACAGTCATTGCAGTTATGGATATGGCCTCTCTCCTTTAAGACCTTTTTAATGGGCTATCCTCCATTTCTTGCTTCTCCAGATTTCTAGTTGAGCAGACACTTCACAGCACACATTAGAACCAGTCCTACAGTTACAACAGTCTTCTGCCTTCTAAATGCATTAAGATGACAAGCCCCAGAATCCCCAGCCAGCAGGATTTTTTTTTTTAACTATTTGCAGGAGTCTTGTCCAACAGCATCCATATTCTTTCTTCCTCTCCTGCTTCTTCAAAGCCCAACTTCCACTTCCATAGAGTGTCACAGGGAAAACCACCACCTGCACAATTCTGATCTTTATTGGTAGAGACACATCACAGGTATCTGAATGTCTTTTCTATGGCCTTCACTGGTATATTCCCTAGTCTACAATGTATTTCCTGATTAAGAGCTGAACTCTGGTACTTATAATACATACAATGCTATCTGGCCACGCTAGTGGCAGTTTGGCGGTGCCTGGCCAACTCTGGCTGCTTTGAAACACTAAGCAAGGTCAGAGCTACTATTGGGAAGTAAAAAAAATAAATGCCTGGAAAATAGTGATAGCAAATCCTTTCCATATTACAGCATTACGAACAAAACTGCATGGAAACACCATAGAAATCAAGCTGAGCTCTAAAGAAACTTTATAATGCTATCCAAGGATCAGGTTATACTTGGCTGTATAAGTCTTGACTTCTCCATTAATTTGTATTCCTTATTTTGTTGTACCATTGTAAGTGAGCATTATTACTATTTATCTCTTGTATCTTACTTTCCCATCAAACTTCCACCTGTGGGTGGTCTTAAATTCCCAGCTTTCATTTTGCCTGCTTTGGAGCCTTGGTGTAGGTTGACCACAAGGTCCTTCTCTGTCTAAACCAGAATATACAGACTTGGCTGTCCAGTTTATAGACATGTAGTCCAAATCTTCTGTTGGTTTCTTGACTAACAGAATTTTCTTGAGTAAATACATCTATAGATCCTCTGCAGGCTCAACTCTGATCTCGCAGAACAAATGCAACAATTGCCAAGTCAGAATTTGCTGTTGAAAGCAATCGCTCTGCAATTAATGAAGCCAATAAAATCAGCATCAGTACTACAGAAATGAATAGCTTTTCTTCTTATAATTCAGCTCTGTTCATCTATCCATTCAGTTTAACTGATCTAAGATAATAAGTGTCTATAATTACCCCATAGCTCTCTAATAATCCCATCAGAACTCTACCAACTTTATTTTTCTCCGGGTTTCTCCATGCTGAACCAAGCAATTAACGCATATTATGCAAATTAATTTCTACTATGTTTCCTATTAGCAACAAGCCACTTGTCAGGGTCAAAAGGGAAGGTCACAGATTTGGATCGACTCAAAAACCTGCCAGTTATTTAAACTTGTGATGATTTCTTTCCGTGCAGTGTTAGATTCATCATTTTCTTCATACATTTACAAAAGCGTTAATACCCAGCAGTGATTTCCAAACATATGAATGAAGTTAGTGTTCTCCCAGGCTGAGAGGGAATTCCTGAGGTCCTCAGAGATATTGTGAAATTGCCTTCTTAGCAATGGTGCGTAAGTGATTTACTACTGTCTTTTCCTGAATATTTTTTGGCTTCTCACACTAGCCTACTGCCCTGGGATGTCTTGGTGATCTCTCTTCCACATACTAACCAATTTCAGTCTTGCTTAGCTTTTCTAGATCAATCAAGGTCAGCTGGGAGGAACACTCTTATAAACTTTTTCTTCTCCCACTGTGTCTCAATAAAATAATGCCTCTGGGGTTACATTATTTCAGTTGCATTGTTTAGAGGCTGCCCTTAATAAGCTTTGCAATTGTTCTTCTTTCTCAGATCCTTTAGATCAGGGTTCCTCAA